ATGCTTTCGAGTTCAACGAATTGAGCGACCCGGATGATATTTGGCGCGGTCCTCGGGGCATTCAGGCAGACTGGGAGAAGGGCCTTCCGGGCTACTCTTTGTCTGATGCCTGGCAGCCTGACAAGGACGAAAGCGAGGCCTGTCTAGGCGATTCCCTTCAGACCCAGTGTTCCCTAACCAACCCCCCACGATTATCTGATTGGCGCACAAAAAAGACTCTCCGGTTACTCAACCTGGCATATGACGTTCTACCCCCCGAACTGGTCACTGCCGTTGTAACAGAGCTGGGCATCCTTCCCACCACATCAGTGCCCGTGGTTCTGCGTGTTACACAGTCGGCCCCTGATGCTGAGGTCGTGAACTGATGCTTCCCGAATTTCCTACCTGTACGGTGTCTGATCCTGGCAAACCTGTTGTCCCTTGTATACGGACGTTTATGTGATTGCATTAAAATGCTCCGATGTTTTGTAGACTGTATGATTTATGACTGTAGACTTATGACTAATATTACTAAGTCACTTTATTAAGGGGATAAGGCAATCTCCCCTGAGCGTCTACTTATATCTGAAAGTAGCCGTAGGATTGATTTTTACAGCAGTAATTTGGAAAATTGTTAAGTCACTGATATGTGTGAGCCAGACGCAAACTGCCGACACGGACACAGTCTTGATTTTATGTGCAACAGTTCCTCAGCAAATGAGTACCTAATTTACTTATAAAAACTAAGGACTGTCACTTTTATGTCCTAAGGTTTTGTTGGAAAAGGTTATGACGGACACACCTTCCATCTGAAAAAAACGTATTAGACTTATTTTCGTCAGAAACCACTGTCTTAACTAGGAGCAAAGTTTTCAGCAAAGCACGTTAAGGACAAGGGCGGATAGTAATTCAACCGTCGCATCCGACGATGTCCACCGTGTGCTCCACAGCAAGGAGAAGCAGGCACGGTGATTTGCGTGTGAATTAGTTTATACTTAGAGTAGACTTGCGCAGGATCTGCCGCACTCTCTTCCCCAACTGGACCCGATGTCAAGACACAGTCAAGAAGACCGGAGGTGGGGGAGCACGCGGGTGGATGGCACGGCCATACCCGCACCTAGTCGTATCACAACACCCCCTGGCCCACACCAAACGTTTGAATAGGATTTTGACCGACTACATCAGAAAAGACGTGGATAAATGGGCAACCATGCACACGGTCTGTATACCCAGCGGGAGCCTAAGCACCTTTACCGCCAGAGAACCAGGTACCAAAGAACTGCCGGCGCCCATCAGGCTAAGAGGGCCATGATATGCTGATCATGGCATAGCAGACGCTCACAAACCTTGAGCCTCAGAAGGGTAACAAAGCCCTCCATTATCACGGGTCATCACCCTTCAAAGGCTGTGTAACCAGTCAGTCAGCAACTGAAAGGCACTACCCATTACGCAACACGCACTCTTCACATGCGTGAGAGTGCACAAGTCACTTTACGAGGGAGTGGGGACAGTCTTGCACCCAGGCCGACGCTTCGACCGTCGTTGCCGACGATGTCTATCGTGTGCCCCACAGCAAGTTGAAGCAGAAACGGTGGCTTGCGCGTGAATTATATTGAGAGTAGACTTACGCAGCATCTACCGCACTTTCATCCTCCCCTACCTGGGCGCAGGTGGATGGCACAGTCGGGCCCGCACCTTGGCGCTCCACTCAAGACCTGGTCCACACAGCAAATAACAAGGATTTTAACCTACAATAACAATGGGGGACGGCAGGGGTCCCACAAAGCGCGACGCCAGCCGGCAGTTGGGTCTGCCACCGCGTCCCAAAATTTCGGCATTTGCTATAGCATGAATTCCGATAACGCCTGTCAAATCCGATATGGTCCCGGTGTTGGTCCGACACATCTACCACGTGGTCCGTTTGGGGGACGAGCCCACCAGTCCGCCACTCCTCACAACTGGGCAGACTGTGTGGACTGAGTTGAGGCGCCAGTCGCTAGCCTTCCAAGCCACGGCGCTTGGCTCACCGGGATAGTCTCAGACTCGGATCACGCACACAGCAGGGAAACCGCACGGGGACGGAGTCGAGAAGCACGCCTCCCGCCTGAGTGGGATGTGGCAATCGAGTGCTTGCAGTGGTGATATTGTTGTATGATTCGGTCGTTGGTAGGGGATGTGTGATTTAGCCGGCGGTTGTCTGCCGTAGGTTCTCGTGAATGCGCATGCGACCTACCAAGCCAATGCGTTGAGTGAGTGTACGAGGACAGCTAAGGCGGCTGCGGCGAGTACATTTGGGCGCCCCAGTAACTGGTTCGCCACCTTTCGTGCAATGGATCAACAAGTAGCCGACCAGGCCAATGCATGAGCTGGATGTGCGATCGCAATTGGGACAGGTATGAACCGAATCCACATTGCTGGCGGTGGGAGTGTTGGCGGTGATGGTAGAAGGCGATAGGACATCAGACGTCGGCCCATCGGTGAGAGGGGTGCGGGAAGTCTCATAGGTGGTTTTGATGCTGGAATCTGCGGTCGATGCAGGGCGGGCGGTGGGGCAACGACAGTGTGGTCGTCGGTGACGGGGACGGCAGTCGGCGCGGGATTTTCGACAGGGGCGAGAGTGGGAGAAGAGGTATGCGTTGGCGGGTTGATTGCGCATTGAGTCCGAAGGTGTCCAACGGGACCGATTCTTTTGCGTGTTGGCAGCGTGGGCATGTAGGAGGTGAGGCACTTGTGATTTGAGGGCCTTCCGTTTGGCTCTTGCGGCGGCGATCCGTTTTGCTTCGTAGATGGCGGCGCCAGTCTTCCCCAGGCCGGTCTGTTCGGGACGATGTCCTCCCAGGTCTCTGGACTGATATGCAATCGCTTAGGAGAATACTTCAATATGTCCTTGCAGCGTCGTTTTGGGCCTACCGGTCAGCGGGCACCGGTGGCAACATCACCATAGAAGAGTCGTTTTGGTAGACGTGTATCTTCCATCCTCACGAGATGGCCGCCCCAACATAGTTGTAGTTGCCTTAGTATGGCGTAGACGCTGAGGACTACGGTCCATTATAGAGCTTCCGTGTTGGCGATCATGTCTTGCCATCCCAGCTTTAGTATCCTGCAGATGATAGCTGAGATGGAAGTGGTTGAGTTTCTTGGCATGGCTGGAGTAGACGGTCCAGGCCTCTGCACCGCACAGAAGTGTCGTTAGGACGACAGCCTTGTGCATCTTTAGTTTGGCATTCGATTAGAGGCCGTGGCAATCCCACACGGAGTTCTGCAGCCGGTCGAAGGCTTGGCTGGCATTGAAGATCCGGTGGGCCACTACATCGTCGATTCGGATGCAGCGAGACATTGTGCTGCCTAGGTAGTTGAAGTTATCCACGTTCTTCAGTTCAGTGTCGTTGACGCTGATGCGAGGAGCACAGTTTTCAGCGGTTGATGGCCGTTGATGCGCAGTCACCATCTTGTCCGTATTGATGGTCAGTCCGAAGTGGACGCAGTCGGAGGCGAAGAGATTCATGCTCAAAGATCTGGTACTATTCGCTATGCGACTGACAGCAGCACAGCTATTGTTCGAGGGTTACGCAAGTCAGTAAACCTTGTACACAGACCTTCGTAGTGAACATTCGAGCAGACATGTCGGTTGATGCTGTTTGTGCTGAAGTTCAAAGCTTCAATAACTCGCACCTGTTTGGTTTTAGCATTGGCGAACACCTCAGTTCCGTCCCACCTGAAACGGTGATCATGCTCAAGATCGTGCGCGAACACAAGATGCAAGGGAATCCCGTTGGCGCGGGTCCCAAGTCTTCGGTCGTTATGGCAAACACACGCAATAGCAGTTGACATATGCAATGCAGTGAATTGCATTTTTTGCTGCCCCTCAGGTATGGGGTCTTTTATTCGAAAAAGTGCTGTGCACAGGAAGGACGCCGACCTGTGGGCGATTGAGATGCCAAGCCAGTTTTATTGTCGGGCGGCCGCTTCGGAAATCCTTAACATGTAGAGCAGGAATTAGAATTCCCGTGTCATACTGTCCCTGTTAGAATCGAAATTTATTGGCTGTCCCTGGCGTCTGAGGTGTCTTTTCACAAATCTGGTCGGGTACTCATTAAACTGAAAATCCTGATGCAAGTAGGCCATTTATTTTTTTTAAGTAAATCACTGCTACTCCAGTTACAATAAACCCAGTGAAAAGGGTTCGGGCACAGCTTATTTTATTGGCCGGAGGGTGATCGCTCTTATAGTTAGGGATGTTTTCAGTGTTAGAGCCTTTTCGGTGGACGCTTGTTGTGGGGCCGCCGTCACTGTGTCTTTGTATACTTGCGTCTAGAAACTGGCGGATATCGCCAGTAACTTCTAGAGTTGCAAAGGCGCCATTCAGACTGGCGAAAGCGCCCAACTTTGCAGGTCTGTGCGAGGACGAATATGTCCTCCACGTATCTGAGCCACCTTTTGACGGAAAATTTCTTTTAACATCCTCTCCTAGTCGTTGTTGCACTAGATCTGCGAGTAGTCCCGATTTTGGCAAACTCAATGAGATGACCGTTACCAGTGGGTAAGAGTTGTAGCGGGCAGCCATCATGACCGCTCTGGTGTCATTGTTCAAGACGTCGCTGCCTCAAGGTCATTCACCCCTTGCATCGATCCGTCCCAGGCGAGCTGACCTGAAGCCACTCGAATGACTTTAGCTCGGACACAATTGCATCCACACAGCGTCGCGGATACCCATGCGCCACTTGAAGGCGCCACCCCTTGCAATCAGCAAGGCAAGCTACTGGGACACCACCCGTCGGCAAATGCAACACACACCGACTGGACACCACTTGAGCTTTGCCCACGAGCCTACAAAAGTGGCTGCCACCACTGTCCTAGGGACTCTCGGGCACGACTGGACGCAGTCAACACCAGCCCTGGCTTCGCCAGTGGCCACTGCCGCCTGAGAGGACAACTCCGGGTTCTGTGCACAATAAAGCCCTCATTCTGGTGCCTTCTGTCTCACTCCTACCAACACTAGGATTAGCCCTGATTATAGTAGCGCTCTGGGTACATAACACACACACACACTGATTGGTCACAACAGAGTTACCACCGAACTGACAATAGTTATCGTGGCCGAGACTTGGCGCATTGGAGTGTCGACGGGATTGGTTTGCAGGGCGTCGGGCTACACACACAGCTGTCAGGTCATGTGGCGGGGAAGAAAACAGGGCAACCACATCAAGTGATATAATGCTTTCATCAGGACTTTCTTAAGATTTTCGGTCTCTTGAAGTAATACCTAAGAGTTTTTACGTTCTTTTGTGATCCATTGATGAAGTGTTTCCGGTGCCTGTACACCTATTTGGTAAGGTAATTAGGCGATCCAATGGGCGGCCCTATGCTCCTTAGTAGCGCGTCTGCTTTGCGCACCTTTGAAAGGTCATATGCACTTGCGAAATAAGGATCTCTAAGTCATGAATCTGGAGTTATCAGGAATTACTGTCTTTAGTCGAGCCAGCAAAGTCAACTTTTTCTTTAAACCTGCGTCCTCCTTTTTAGGTTCGGATTCCATCGAGTGGTGTGTAGGCTTCCTGTAATTGAGGACTTGGTTTGCATTGTTTACGCAATCAGTCCCACCTATATACGTGCATTTATATAGGCTGAGATGAAGGAAACAGTAGGACGATCTCTGACAAGAGGTATAATCTGACATTTCGCTCTCATATTTGAGCAAATCATTGGAGACTGATAAAATTAAAAAATACACAGCCCAGATAAGTTGTTCGTATTCACTCCCGATAGGTCTAACACACTCGCCTCATACGCCCCCCCCCTCCCCCCAACCCCTCGAAAACAAGAGGTGCCCGACGGCCTTGTATGGCGCTGGTAGGTCGATAATGTAGTGGATCTAGTTGGCGTCTGATTATTCCTGTCGCCAGTTTGCTTTCGGCTCGAACAAACACTTGTGCACCGTCAACGTCGGACCGATTATTATTTTCCAGACTGCGTATACAGACATGCACAGGTGAAAAGGATAAATAAATAAAATAATTGTATTAACGACCCATCGGGGTCCCTTCATAACTAGTTTAAATTATTGCGGAAATTTCTGCCACAGAATGGCAAAGACGGTGGTGGACGTCAGATATAATGACACTCAAAACACGGAATCCATATTTTTGCGCAAGTCATCCTCCTGTCTCATTCATCAGTTTGAGCTTGAATCGAAAAAAACTTCAGTAGGATAACATGATCGCGAAAACGATGAAGAGAAGTTAACTGCTCGTAGGCCGTCGCCTGGGCCTATACTCATTTCTCCCAAGGTGTGATAAGGATAAGCGTTTGATGCAGAAAAATATGTTAAAAACTGACGTAGCGTACATTCGTAGATAATATAATAAGAAGCGAAGTCTCCCTCCCCCTTCACTCCATTTCAAACACGTCCTACGCAGAGAGAGGCTTCAATCTCGTAGGCGGTCCACGCTAACTCGGGTTGTTCTCCATTAACCAAACCATGGCCCATAGTGGAGTTTGGCAGCCGTCCGGAACATTTAAGCCGCGTATTTAGTGATAGCGTTGCCTGCCCCCTCGCGGCGAAATGAGTTAGAAAACGTGTCTGAAAATAATGCTGGAAGCATGTCATCTGCACAATGCCAGTGGCTCGCATTTTCAAAATTCACGATCGAAACCTTCAAAAAAACTCTCCTAGTCCGCATCCCATCCGCCTCACCTCATGGGCTGCTAGGATAACTCTGCTCATTCTGACAGCCCAGAATGTTCGTCCTTTTTAGACAACCGGCCGGAGAAGAGGACGACGCTAGTCGCTCGGTAGTTGGCGCGCCACAGGGTGGACGTCGATGCGTTCAGCTAGACCCCATTCTCCGAAGAAGGTTAACTGCAGGAGGTGAGTGCTAGCTACTCTTTCTTCTGGACTGACCGCTTAAAGGCAATGTGACGTGACAACGACATCGCCATTGCCATCTGGAAGGACTGCCCCACTTGTCACAGGTCATCTATGACCGACTTATGAAACTGCGCCTGCCACTTCGGAGAGCAAAATCCGTCATCCTTATCAGCGCTTTCACCACCTTTCCCAATTATGAGATTTGACGAGGCGAAGAAAGTAATCCACGAGGTGCGCACCTACTCACAGCGGCTATGACGAAGGTGGACAAACTGGTTGTCCTCGGTGACTTCACCGCTCACGTCGGGGCAGACTACGCGGCTGGGAGGAAGTACTGAGTCCCTATGGCCTCAGCGGTTGCAACGATAACAGTCGTCTTCTGCAAACCTACACAAAACACTGCCTGTCTCTTACCAAAATCTTATTCCGCCTCACAACGCAATAGAAGGCAATGTCAATGGATCCCTGATCGTCGCGCTGACGGCTGCTGGCTTACATGTTCATCCGGAAACGAGATCGTTGGAATGAGAGGCATTACAGGGCCACGCAGGCGACCGCATAATTAAGACATTAGACCGAACGAATGTTATGAACGATAGTCCGACCGTCGTTACGGACGATCTCCACCGATGGTGGGCGCAGAGACGGAGACTTGCGCATAAGTTAGTTTATAATGATGGCAGACTTTCGTTGCATCTACCTTGCTGTCTTCCCTTCCTCACGCACCTAAGTCCCGTGTCAAGGTAAAGTTGAGAAAACTGGAAGCAGGATCGGACGTACTGACTTACAAATCAACCATTCTGTCTACGCATGCCACACACGCCTGGTTTGGGCATGATGGACCGGTTTTTCACAAAAAACAACAAAGTACAACTCAGATCCGAACTGCATGGCAGCGCCATAGAGGCAATACTTAGAATGAGCCGTTGCAATCCGATTTTTCGTCCTGGGAGAACTACGTTGTTTCATCACTTAGCAGCCATCTAAACTATGGCTTTTAACGCACGAAGATAGATTGGAGCGCATCAAAGTTATTGTTATGAGGAATATGTGCTGGGAGCCGACTCCACTCTCTCCCCTAACCAATACACCAGTTCACTGTTCGAGCTTGTCAGTTATTTGATGCGGAGACTTGACTCAAGTGGCTAACGGCTGAATGGTCTACCTTCGCGTGCTACTCGCGGTCTGGCCTCCCACACATCCCACCAGGTTTTAATACAAAGACAGGTTGACTGCTTATATCTCACGTGTGTATGAGTATCAGAGGGGCCGCATGCAGGCGCCGAAGGCCCCGCTTCCCATGCAGATGGAAAGTGTGTAAGTGATAAAGCCATAAGTTGGGCGCGGTAAGTAGGCTATCCGGGAAACGAAAATAGCAGTATTCCAACAGTTACAAACTAGTAAATAAGAACAAAGTCGTCAGCAGTTAAAAGTGCACGTGCAGGTTCTTTGTCTTATTCAAAGTTGTGTCAAAGCGTTTTGTAACTGATTAAAACAAAACGGATTTGAATGTCAGTACAAGTGCTTGTTCTGTGCCTGCAGTAAGTGATGTGGGACGAGTTCGTATGCAGTATTGGGGTGACAGAGAATGTCAGGTGGGAAATTCGTGGTCATAGGGGATGCATGGTGTCGCATGTGAGCGAGTAGACCTCTACGATATCTGAATGTCATTGGACAGCTCAGGTTTTTGAAGCGGATACGGCGGGCGTATGTTGCTCCTCCGGACACTGTCTTGCCCATTTTAGAGCAATGGATTCATAAATGACCGACCAGGTCTATGCGTGAGCTGGAGGTGTGATCGCAATGGAGACAGGTTAGGGTCGAGACTACATTGTTGGTGGCGGGGTAGTGCCTAACAGGACGCTGGCAGTCGTCACCGCCATCTCAGGGGTTCTGGTAGGGATAATAGAGGCGGTGTGGTTCGATATCGTCTGAGGCGTCGAGGCATCAGGAGTGGAGTTACCGGTGGCGGTGGTGGTTGCCGTCGTGTGGGTTAATACAAGAGTGGCGATGGAGGAATTTGTGGAGACAGCAGGCGGGGTTGTCAGCTGTCGTTATATTGGGTCCGAAGATGTCCGACAAGGCTGATCCTTGCGGGCAAAGTTAGTTGACAACGCGGACACCTTGGAAGTGGTGGATTGTTGGGGTTGAGGGTTCGTGGTACCTGCCACTTGCAAGGAACTCTTTTTGCTTTGGTGGTGACAATAGGGTTAGTTTCGCGAATTGCTGCTCCAGTCTTTACTGTTTTTGTCCAGACCCGTCAACCTTGGGCGAGAGTTTCCCAGGACGCCGTTGTCCATGTAGTGTCGTTCTCACCCTCTATATCGGCGGTCACCCGTAGCGACACAACTGTAGAAGACTCGTTTGAGTAGGCACTCGTAATCCATCCCCACGAGGCGGCCGTTCCATTACAATTGTTCTTGCTCCAGCCTGACGTGGATGCTAAGGATTCCGGTCCTTTCCAAAACTTCTGTGTCAGGAATCCTGTCTTACCACCTCCGTTTCAGCAGTCTTCGGAGACGGCTGAAACGGTAGTGACTGAGTTCTATGACTTGATGGAAGTAGAGGGCCCATATTTTCTCCCAGTATAGTAGCGTTTCCAGGACTGCCGTCCTGAATATTTCGAATTTCGTGTTGAGTCGAAATCCGTGGTGGTTCCAAACAGAGGCCTGCAGCCGACCAAAAGCCTGGTCGGTTTTGGAGATCTGGCTTGCCCCTTCGTCGTCTATCCTGGAGTTGTGTGAGATGTTGCCGCCTATGCAGACCAACATGTCAACGGACGTGAGTCGTGTTCCATTCACATTGGCCCTGGACGTGGTGTTCCTCTTTTGATGCTGATTGGTGCACAGTCACCGTTTTTGTCCTTCTTTATGGCCAGTTCCAGATTTGCGCATTCGGGAGAGAAGAGATTCATGTTTTTTCATGGCCGTCTCTGTCGTGGGGTTGAGTGCACAGTCGTTCATGTATAGGAGTTCATGGACAGTGATTTTTGAAGTTCACGCAAACGCTTGCCTCGTAGGATGTTGAGAAGCCGACTTCCGGCCCTGTAGGCAATAGTGATCTCGCAACGCTCATCATGGTAGGCATTCGGCACTATAGCAGAGAACATAACAGTGAAAAAGGTTGAAGCGAGTATGCGGCCCCGCTTCACTCTGTTGAGTATTGCGAATGCTTATGAGACTGTCCGTTGTCCGTGACGCGCGCCATAATGTCATCGTGGAGCTGACGTACCATGTACATAAATCCTCAGAGCATCCAAATTTCTGCATGCCCCTCCAGAGTCCAGCGTGATTCACCGTATGCAAGACCTTTGTTAGGCTCACACAGGAAATGTTGAAAATGCTGTACCCTTCGCAGCACGTCTACTGCAGTCACCGGGCCGCAAAGATCATATTAACGGTGCTGCATTTCCTCAAGAATCCATATTAGCTTTCGGGAGAAGTCCGTGTTCTAGATGAATTTTCAGGAGACTGAAAAGGATGCGGGCGAAGATCATTCCAGCAATGTTGAGTGGCGAGATTCCTTTGTGATTACTACAAATTTGTCGGTGACACTTCTGCCCAAAGAGACGGATGATTGAAAAGGGGACACGATCGCCGGAACAGGAGCTTCATGAGCCGGATATTTTGAATTCCCAGTCGAATCCATCATCAGAGACGGAGTCGGATAAGTGTGGAAGTTGCCCAGATGTTGTTGCATGTATAGGATGTAGTTGCTGGGCTGTGACATGCTTATCAGAGTTAACAGCTCCCGCGTGCATCATGGATCGACTGGTCAGGTGATGAAGCATGTAGTTGTAATGCAGACGCTATGCGCCTGCATGTCAGCCAAAATTATTGGCTCCTACGCTTATTGCACGCAGTCGAGTTGGTGACCGTCAGATTTCGTCATCCGTGTGGATTCATAGCCAATTTGGCTCGCCAACAGTGACACAAGGAATAGTGGTCATCCGCACGCTCTCCGCGTGGCTGAATATTTTTCCTGGGCAGAGTCTCAGCCCCGAATATGAAGCGGGGATGTCGTTTGATTGTGGATTGATTGTGTTGATTGAGGACCTGAAAACCATGTCTCAAACAGTTCACGGCTCACGCGATTGTCGCCTATCACATATACTTCGGCTTTATCAAACTTCAGTGTCTGACTGGAACCCATAGAGTGCGCCCCGACTGGGGAGCTGGGGCTGCTCTACCCCACCACGGCTGCGTGTTCGACTAGCCGCTTCTGGAGTATTCTAACAGTTTCTCCGACATAGTTACACCAGAAACCGCAAACGACCCCAGACGTTTCTTGCCGAGGCGGTGGGTCTTTCGGCCTCATGATCTGGCGCCTTATTATTGTCCCGGTCTGTGTGCAACTCCGATTTCAAGTGGCGCGAGAAGGCGAGCCACGGCTTCCATGACATTCCTTACGTAGGTGGGGGCTCGCCAAGATTGTAGGCCGCTAGGATTTCAAATCCCATTTCATTTGCGCGGACTGTGGTTGACTAAGCTGCGTGTAGTCGAAGGTAACGTAGTTCGGCAACCTGGTCTTTCGGTTCACTGCTGCGTGTCTCCACACGCTGGTATAGCGCCCTTACGCAACCACGTTTATGACTGATTGGGTGGTTGCTATGGTAGCTCAGCACTTGCGTCGTGTTTGTCGCCTTCCTGAATACTTTGGTTTTTAGGACACCACAATCTTTGCGGCAGGCAAGGACATCAAGCAAGACCAGCTAGTTGTTCTCCTCTTCCTCCATCGTGAATCTAATGTCTGGAAAGAGAGTGTTGAGAGTTTCTTTAAATTTCGACACCTGCACCCGTTTGCTGACAACGAAGGTATCATCCACATACCGACCCCAGAATTTCTGCCTGCATTGCCGGAAAACTAGAAACTCCAACCGTTTTAGTATCGACTTGGCTATGACTCCTGAAATCGACGAACGCGTTGGCGTGTCCTTCACCTGCTCGTAGATTGCTCCATCGAACGTAAAGCACGCCATTAGACAGAACTTAGGGAGTAAGAGTATTTAGGCACGTCCAAGGCGGTTCTCCTTCTAACCGTATTTGTCTCGTAGGAGTAGTTCGATGGTCTCGACTGCCAGGTTCTGCGGAATAGGAGTAAAACGGGACGTGACATCAAAGGATATTATGGCGTCGCTTGGAAGGAGGCTAACCAGTTTCGTTTCTCCAAGAATTGTGTTGATGAAGTGACCATGGTGTCTGTCTTGACTGTCAGTAACTTGGGACGCCGGAACAGCTAATTTGCTAGTTCGTACCTTGGAGAACGTTTGAGCGACACGACGGGTCGGATATGAGAGCCATCTATGTGCACCTTGGGATGGCCATAGAAGAGGATCAAAACCGTATCTCGGCGTCTCGCCATGCTTGGCCACGAAGTATCGCGGCCACCTCCCCGAAGATCGTGATTTCACCATTTTCAAAAATACGTGTCGTTAAAGTTTGCCTTTTGATCTCACCCAAACAAGATAGTTCGTGAGATTTTACACCTGAACTACATTTTGCAATTCAGTGCAAACGTCCGCTACATTGTGGCGCAAGAGTGAAATACCACCCTCCGAATATATGGCAGGATGGTTACCCTAGCTTTAAACTGCGCCGACGATAATGCGGGCGACTATGCGCAGGATATTCGACAGTTTATATGGTCGCCGTTTCCAGTTCCGCCGCGCAATTCATCGAACGAGCCATATATCAAAAGGGGTTTTGTCAACGGTGTCTACGTATTCGTCTGGTCTGCCGATGTGCGCAAACCACTGCAGTCCTAATACAAACGAATGTTTTGGTTACTTTGTATCATGGTTGGTGATATCGGTTATTCTGCATTTGGCGACTTGTGATATTCTCTTCGGGGGTGTTTACATCATTATGTCCAGCGCCGTTGTTTTATGATCAGTTTCTAAAGAAAAAGCTTAAGGTGGGAGCTGGGGGTGGCCCATCAGCTACTTGATTCCCCCTTTAGGCGATGTAACAGCTACGTCTGGCGCACAAAGAAATGTAATTCACACTAGTTATCTCCCGAGAGTGTGCATGTCAGACTTGAAATATAAGACAGACGTGTGAGACTTGTGTACGTTATAGATCGTGAAATCACGGTCTTCAGTATGATGTCGAAGGTGCTTTGGGTTTGAATCTGCTTTACTTAAAGTTAACAGACGGTAATTTCCGCAAAAATATGCAGGAGGTTGAGTCAGGTCCGTGGGCTGCTGCTACTGCTGCTGCAGTACCGTTCCCAATTGGAACAATTTGGGTACTGACCATGAAGTCATTGGTAGTTAATATAGAAGTGAGTGGGGCGGACAGCATCCATCAAGGACATTAGCCCGCCTACGTAAGGTATGGACTGCGGATGGGAACTCAAAGCCGTAAGCTGAGTCCAAGAGAATTCTGGTCACCGGAACGATGTAAGCGCAGTTTAGGAGAAACCAATGATAGAATTTTACGGTGCACTGGAACTTCTGCAGTTGGTGATTGGAGTAAGAAGTTGTAAAGTCCTTAATGACAGAAAACCTGGAGACCAGGAAAAGGATTCTCAGGAAGTCTTTCGGTTTAAATTCAAAGGAAATAGGTAACAACTTTGGAAGTGAAATCGGCGGTTTAAAAACCCGATTGTCTTCAGGTCTTCTCGCGTTTCCTTATCATTTCAGCATAATTCAGCATAGCCGAGAATAATAGACATTGCCTTTGAAGACTCTATTGAAAATGGCAAATGTAATGCATACGACAGAGCAAACATGTTATTATAGCGTCTTAAGTAACATATGCATACTGAAGAGTAATTTTTCAACAAGGCCATCTGTTAAAGGATAACTACACGTTGTCCAACTTTGAGCCTATTTGAGGGAATGGCTACATATGAAATATTACAAATTACACCCTCATTGTTTTAGGCGCATAATCACCCAATGTCGCTTTTTTCAGGCTTTCCAAAAATTACGATACACTGGCAATGAATTATTATTATTTAAAACGCCTTTAATTTGCGTAAGCGTTCCCTAAAGGTGTTCAAATTTACATGATATGAATGATCTGGGGATAGCCGCATATTCACTTGCCTGGAAGATTTGCCTGCCCATAGGCAGAAATTCCTAAGACCATAAGTATTGAGAAAATGAGGGATAAAAATCCAGAAGGTGAGATGACACGTCCTAAATAACAGTTTCGTTTACATCATAGGGACCAAGACTACCTTTCATACATAACTGGTGACATGCTACGATTCAGCGAGTTTAGGATTAGAGTTCAGGGCACGAGATCGACCACTGACATCGGCAACTCGACTATGGATGAAATTAGTTTATACTCTTTCCTTGGACATGGGGTGGTCACCAAGTTTCCCTTTGTTTGCTTAATTCTACTTGCCAACACAGAGTAACCTTTGAATGATCTGCTGGTTAGTGTTGTTAATTTCACTTAGTAAATAGGCCCCTTTTCTTCTATGTGGCACCCTATAGACCATACAGGTGGATTTAAGTACAAACGTAAGTGGGAGTGGTCAGTACGCCTTTTTGACAGGAAAGCTACTGCTGTACATTGAGTTCTATGTTCTTGTAACTATTCAAAATAGCATCGAGATTTTGCTGTGCGAGCGAAGGTCCTTATCTTTTCCGCTGATAGAATGAACCAAATATTTCCACAAATCCTTATGCCGAGGTAGTGCTTTCAAAAAATTGTTTTTTCGTAAAATTGCTGATCTCAAAAAGTTCTTCGAATGCATCTTGTTTGAGTTTCTTCTCATATTTTGATGCGGCCGGTTCAAGTATCGTAGACATCGGCTCTCTTGCAGCCTTTCTTGTCTGAGGTGGATTTTTACTGATAAGGAATCCCTCACAACTTTCACTCTCAGCAGACTATCCGGTTTTTCGGTGAGCATATTTTCTGTGAAATCTGAATCTTTACCTCCTGCATTACGAGTGCGCATCATTTTCCCCGGCTTATCTCGATTTCGCGTTCGTATAGGGCCTGTTAAATTTGTCGCGTGTTATTCATAATCTAGCGCTTTCAATTACTTATTCCGTCCCTGTCCCTACTTTATTTCATGATATCCGCGTTGGACTCGTTATTACATTTGCATATTAGTCGTTGTTGGATATCCAATGTAGAAAGTGGTATATACCACTTTCTACATTTTCTTACCTATCTACTACAAACGCAAGACATAGATGCATTGTATGGAGTTTCAGTGTGATAGTTGGATTCGACACTGAAAGAACACTAGTTGTTGGCTTAGGGACATAGTTGCGGTGGTTTATTTGCTCGCGTGAGGCCAAGTTTCCGGTTAGACTTAATAGTATACCATTAAGCATGTACGGTTAGTTGCGCTTGCGTTTGGGTCAAGCCTGGTCTTTACGACCAGGTCTTGAGTTAGGGTAAGGTTTATCGATAGGTTTTAGGTTACGTACTATTTTTGGGTTGTGTGCTTGAGGAAGGTTTGGTTTTAGGTAGGGGGTTAGGTCCCCAAGGCACCGAATATGAGTGCACGATTTCTGGGAGATGATTGCATGTGCCTTTCGCCCTGCCTTTTTCGCCGCCCTTTCACGCGCCGTCATTTTTCTTGGAAGGTTTCGTAGCCACTCCTTCCTTAGCCTTTAAATGCTTCCCATCCGGCAATCCCTTACAAACGTTTCCCACGCGTATTCAGAGAGCCGCTCCTTAGTGCTCTCGTGACAATTCACTGGACAGGTTAGGAGCAATATTTTCGCGTTTGCCTCTCGTCGTACACTAACTGCACTCATCTGAAGATTAACACGCACAAAATTTGGGAAAATCCTGCACTTCAGCCTTGTCGACCAAGCAAGCTTGACATGCACGTACAGCACTGTTAGGGTTCCGCTTATATAATAAGGTACCTAATGTTTACGTTTGCCGATTGTTATGGTCTTACGATTCATTTTGTTTTGTGCTTTTGTGAGGAAGCATCATCCAGCTAAGAATTATTAGTTTTACTCTATCCCTTATATGCTGTGCTGGCTTTAGTGATCTAAGAGTTTTTTTCCTGTGTTAACAGACAAAACAGATACAGATTTACAACAGCTTTGGGATAAAATCTAACCCATGCCATGCGGTTCAACCATTCTTAAGTGGCCTATAGGGTCTTTCTTAGCCTTGGCGGACTTTCGAATCACTCTAACAGTGGTCGTTTCTCTTGCGTCCACTAAAATACCCAACATGAGGGATTGGTGCAAGGGAAAATGCTGCTGGCAAATTGCCAATTTCTCTCCATACCCTGGAAAGCTTATTTGAGACCTTCGCCAATTCTTTTTCTGGGCCAGTGCTCTATAAGTGCCAATTGACCTAATTCAAACCCATGGTAGACTAAATTTAAGCTGTCTATGATCAAATTTTTTTCCCGACTACCGGAGGTAGCCTAAGGAGAAATCGAGTTTTGATGAAGTCGTTGGTGTTTGGCGTTCAAACCCGGTAAGGCGGGCGGGCATAATCCTCGATGAGTTCTTAGTTTTGATCTCCTCCTTCCTTGACCTACTGGATTGTTGCAGTTTGTCTTCATCCGCTTACGAACATCTCGAGATAAGTAGGGAGCAGCTGGTATCGGAAAGATTGTTTCGGCAAACAGGCGTACTCTGATTGGAATCCTCAGGGCATGCGTAGAAAGGTGCATATTTAATTGAAAGTGGTGCGAGGTCTGTTTTCACTGCTTCTACCAGACAGTTGTTTGCCGTATTAAATTTGTTCCATACCTCACCGCATTCTTTTGCTAGAATTGTTTCACTAACATGAGCGAATGACCCCTTCGTCTACAATTTATTTGTGAATTAGTCGATTAAAGTCGTACACTTGTATGTCTTTGATGTTTATCAACCTCCCAACTTACTATGACACTATTATTTGCAGCGGCCACTAAATGGCCATGCAGCAGGCACAAGTTGCACCTGACTCGGTCACAATGAACCAAGTAAACGGCCAACTGCCATCTGCATCTGCCCCTACTATATCGATGCCAAATTCTATGATGTCTCAACAAATGTCCTCACAATTTCCGCCGAACCAAGGCCTCCCATCTCAGGGTTTCAGCTCAGCATCAATGAGTAGTCACAACAATTCCTTTGGTCCCTCACCTCTCTCCGTGTCCCAAATTCAAGGTGGAGTGCCCCCTAACGTCATTATCGGTCGCACTCCGCCCTTGCATGCGTCCGGTTTTGAGGCCCCAATGCAGCCGTATCCGAACCAATACAGTTTTCCTCACGCCCAGGGCCAACAGGGTCCGCCTCCTAATGCATCTATACCTCCTCCTGGATTGTCCTTCGTCAAAAGCCAGCTTGTCCAATTGCGCGCCCAGATAAACGCCTATAAATTGTTGTCTAAGTCGCAACCTGTTCCCGAAAACATTCTTCTTGCAGCTGAAGGTCGTGTTCAGCCTACGGTCTACCCGCCACCGAACGCTTTACCAGGAGCTCAACAGATGCAGAGACCTCCCCCACCGAACCCTTCACAAGGTCCCCTCCATAGTCAGAACTCTCAAACGCCCAATCCATCTGGACCAGTAACAACTTACCAGCACCCTCAACTGCCGAATTATGGCCCGCCGCAGGCCATAGCCAATCGCCGTGTTGGTGCACCACCTATGGGTTACCCTCCTTACGCCGGCCCATCACCAAATGCCGCATTCCTAGCGTCAGCAGCCCCTAGAACGGGGCGCAGTCGGGTGGTGCCTCTGCAACGTCCTCAGGGTCTAGACCCAGTTGAGTTACTCAAGGAGCGTGAACAGCGGATCCAGTCTAGAATAGCTCAAAGGATCAAAGACATCTCTGGGCTTAGCCTTTTCTCCACCCCAGAGCAACGGGTTCAGCTTCAGATCGAGCTGCGTTCCCTGCGTCTCCTTAATTTCCAGCGCCAGCTGAGACAGGATGTCGTATCGGCGATGCGTCGCGACACCAGCCTCGAAACAGCTTTGAATATCAAGGCGTATCGTAGGCCTAAAAAACAAAACCTGAGGGAAGCTCGGTATACAGAAAAGCTGGAGCGGCAGATGAAACACGAACAGGATAAACGTCGCCGCCAAAAACATCAGGAATTCCTTAACGCCGTCCTCAGCCATGGTCGTGATTTCCGTGAGTACCACCGATCTGTGAGTAACAAGTTGACAAAGATTAACAAGGCCGTACTTAATGCAGACCGCGACAGGCGTCGAGAGCAACAACGCATAGATAGGGAGCGTATGCGCCGGCTGATGGAGGAAGATGACACTGGCTACCGCAACTTAATTGACGAGAAAAAGAACAAACGCCTGCACTACTTGTTGACACAGACTGATGAGTTCATAGACAATCTCAGCAAATTAGTTAAGGATCACAAGCGTGAACAGAATAAGATGCGTGTCAGTGAGTTGCATGAGAGGCGCAAGGAGGCTCAGGAGTGTGCTCTTCAGCATGCGTGCGCGAGATATCAAGCCATGGCTTCGGAGATTGTGGCCAAAGGGGGACCACCTCCCAGCTTCCTGGCTACTCTTCCTTCCGATTCCTTCAGTGACGAGCTTGTGCAGGCCAGTCGTGACCTGGCAAACGGTAAAATGCCCATTCTAAGTGGTTCCTGGCCCGCAGTACGCATCCCCGTGACGAACGGCAGCACCAGGGAGACGATAACAGGAGAGGCTGCCCCATTGGCGGCGGAGCTATACTCATGGCTTCAAGAGCATCCTGGCTGGGAGGTAAGTTTACATCCTGTAAAGGCGATTTCAAACCTCTGCGTTATATTTTGATTAAGTGCACAGAAGAACCACATGGTTCATTTTCAACATCACCGTCTTTATAGCAGATAATCTGACAAGAGACACATGATTGGAGGAAGTACTACTTTCTGTCGACCTGTGGAGGAAGTCTTCATAGTTTGTAGATTTCCTCACGAAGATTTGAATAGACTTGCACAGTGGTCGCGTTTTCCACTGGCAGTAGTTACAATGGAAAGCCACATCAGCTGTTGCGCAGCTACGCTGCTGTTGCCTTTCCTTTTCAAAGTAACTGCTCCTTGTATTCGATACATTAAAAGTCTCATAGAGACCTATTTCGAGTAGGCTATATTGCACCCAACAATGTTTGGGCAAAATCACTCATGCAGGTAGTTTTAGGCGTTATGTCCATGTGGATGGTATGAAAGGGAGTGAGGTTGCTCTAATTTTGGCCTAGAGAGTTCCTCCCTATAACAATTCAGCAACTGAAGGGATTGGCCATGTCAGCCACTGCGCGCAGTCAGTCGACAGGTTCGGACAGTCCTCTGGTTCGTGGAGTAGGGAGGAGAGATTAATCCCGATACCGAGGCATCCCTTCTCATGGAAATTCGGCACATTCTTCGCTGTAATAAGTGGGCGGGGCTTAAATGTCGAGGCATGGAAAGTTACCACCTAAATAGACAGCTGGGTCCCCCTTTGGAGCGAGGGGCAGGCTGCAATGACCTTCTGGTGTGTCCTTCGCAGCATTGCTCACACACATGAACTCCGACCCTGTGTATGTACAGCTTCAGACCACAGTTTTGCGTCATGTCATCCACTTCGTTCAGTCCAATTTTCAGTAGGATTTACTTGGAAAAGCTAACAACTAACAGAAGGAACAGCGTGTAAGTTCGATTCAGCTTGAACCTGGCGTCCAGCTTCTCACCAAATAGGCGAACACGCCATCATTTACCACAAACTCTGACCGTCGTGGTTTGCCAGATTATCGACTGTCAAGGATAATGCTTCTTTTACATACTGGTTTTCGGTCATCAGTAACTTAATGTTGCGTTTATGTTGACCCCCTCCCATGCGTGATCCGAATTTTCCTTTTTGAAATGCCTTTAACCGACTCATTGCATGAGCAAGGTGGGAGCGGGAAGAAAGGGATAGACGTCAAGAAATCCTTGTTTACCATAACCAAATTTGCTCGATTTTCACTACTGCGCCCCCGGTACAATGGCTTTCCTCGTCACTTGCGACAGACGAACCTTTATAATGTTCTGTTATTGCTGTCCGAATCCGCACTTGTACGTTAGCCGAATTAAGTTCCGCTTGCATACATGCCTGAGACTCGACAGTTGGTTAGCTGTTCGCTGCCCATCTTCGAGACCCCCTCACGCAAGTTGCGTCATGTATGCCGTCTAAGTGATTAGCGTAGTGTTCGAGTTTTATCTTAATCAAAAGACACTGCGAATTTGAGAAATCTCAGTTTCTTCCGTGTCGTGGCGACATGCTGGCTTAATAACTTAACATCTATGCCGGAGTTGTTTGGCGTCCTTCGGTATAATCCCTAACCAGCAACGCAAATAAGTTCGACTGTGCACATGATATGTCGATGTAGCCGCATTTAGGGCTACTCTGAACACGAAGTTTCCCAACTTTGTTCTTACCAAGGTGAAAGTAAGCCGTTTTTAGATAGAAATGGACTAATGGCCGGAATTTTGGGAGGTTTCAGTGGTCACCTGCATCTAACTCGTGTCTGGTAAGCGCGCATTTGTGATAAACTCATCATTTCGTCGTTCCATGGCGCGGTTCTGAATCGGTACGTCAGCAGTCCAGTCTACTAGATAGTAACAGGAGACTCCGGGATTCCTCAGGAGGCCGTCAATGTCAGTTGCATGTACGAAACTTCTTTCTTATCTAGTGTATAAGACATGAACTACACATGGGACGCCCAGTAATCCGCCGAGGAAACTCACGTCCAGGATTTGTCTAGGTACCTTTGTTCGTAGTATCTCTGGTTAATTTTCGATCCATATGTTATTGATTAGCAGTCGATAGGCCCCACGATCAACGTCATAATTCTTTGCGTGTGTGCAATTGCGTAGAGATTTTTTCATAGTGATGTTTGCTGGGATTAAAGCCTCTACCTCCCTCTTTTGGTTCACTTTCTCTTCGATTTTGCCTGATTTCCTTAGCAGACCAATCAGCTATCGTTTTTATGTTTATGCGCTAGATCGCTCCCACATATGAAACTGGAGCAATAGCTACAGACTTGCTGGAGGACCTAATAGTAGCGCCGAAGAAGGCAGACGAGGAGGATGACGACACTGAAAACCCCGTCGTGCGTGGCACTGAAGACGATGAGTACAGCCGACGGGGCGAGTCGGAAACTAATGCACCTCAGTCCTACTATACACTCGCACATGCAATTCGTGAGGAAGTTAAGGAACAAGCATCGATCCTGATCAATGGCAAGCTGAAGGAGTACCAGATGCGTGGTCTGGAATGGCTTGTGTCCCTTTACAACAACAATCTTAACGGCATCCTGGCGGACGAGATGGGCCTGGGCAAGACAATTCAGACCATTGGTCTCATCACCTACTTAATGGAAAAGAAACGTGTCAATGGACCTTACCTTATCATTGTTCCTCTCTCGTAAGCTGTCATTTAGGATTGTAACTGTTTGCCACCGACCTCTCAAGCATCTCTTTGCAGCCAGCTTAAATAATTAGCTACTTGTTTGAAATTTCGCGATTTCACACACCTCGGCTTTCGTTTTCGGGGTCATCCTTCATTTGCCCAGTTCATTCGTAATAACGGAGGCGCGTCTCTTATAGTTCTAATCACTATAGCCGACACAAACTTGAATTTCCAGAACCAAGTCTCGTTAACGTGTAATCCTTGCAATGTTCTCAAACTTTTCAGTGTTATGTCTAACTGGGCCATGGAGTTCGACAAATGGAGTCCAAGTGTAAAAAAGATTCTTTACAAGGGCTCCCCGCAAGCCCGTCGCATGCTGCAAAATCAAATTAAGGCCTCAAAGTTCAATGTCCTCCTGACTACCTACGAGTACATAATTAAGGACAAAGCCTCACTGTCCAAGGTGAGCTCACACTCTGGGCGACCTAAATTCTCATAATGCCTTCTTTCATTCAGAAGTTTTCTGATATGCTTATCACTGGCCTTCTTACCAT